ACCAATAGGTATTAATGGAGTCTCTGCTTGTTTAGGGCATGTTTTTCATGATTTTTGTGTTTAACCCTTACAAACAGAGTACAGACCTCTTTGGTTATTCAGGAGGGATTGGTCCTAGTATTCCCTTTGAATAAGAAAATCTATGGATGCTCAAATCTCTCATATAAAATGGTATAATATTTGTACACAACTTACACAAATCATCCTGTATACTTTATTCTTTTTTCTTTTTTTTTTTTGGTACTGGGGATCAAACTCAGAACCTTACACTTGCGAGGCAGGTGGTGGAACCACTGAGCTAAATCCCCAGACCTCATCCTGCAAACTTTAAATCATTTCTAGATTACTTACAATATCTACCACAATGAAAATGCTAAGTGGATATTTGTTATATAATATTGTTTAAGGACTAGTGACAAGAAAATATAAGTCTGTACATGTTCTCTGTACACACAATTTTTTCCAAATATTTTTGATCTGTGGTTGGTTGAGTACGTGTATACTGATGGCTGACTGTGTAAGCATGTTCGGGGCAATTTGGAGACATGGAAAGAAGTCCCTCTCTTCCACTAACCAGCAGTGGGACCTTGGTTAAATGACTGAACTTCTCTGAGCCCATTTTGTCATCTTCAAAAGGAGAATAGTCATCCCTGCTTTGCTTTTCCCCTAGAGTTGTTGTGAGGACCAGCAGAGAAGGTTGCCAAAGTATTTTCTCACATCTGATAATATGTTCTATTGCCAAGGAGATTTATACTGTTTGTCTTTATGGGAGTCAATTTTTTACATCCTTTTGTAGGCTTTTATGTACATGTCTGTATCTGATTTGCATGTGTTGGTACTGGAGATTGAACCCAGGACCTCATGGATGCTAAGCATGTACCCTACCACTCAGCTACACTTTTTCCCCATAGGCATTTGTGTTTTAAGAGTACTTGATTGTTTCCTTGAGCAATTCTGAAAGAGAAATTAGCATGGTTAACTCTTTTTAACTGATGAGGTAATCGCAAGGTTTCTGGTAGGAGACAGAAATCAACTTGGCTGCGATCTATCTTACTGGTGAAAGTTGACTCCAGAACTTCAAGCCAAGAAATTAATGAATGAATCACATTTCTGATTTTACCTTCAATATTGAATAGTGATAGCCTTTTAAGTAAAAATAGAACAGCTACTTTTATTCTAAAACACACACACACACACACACACACACACACACACACATGTTATTTTCAAAATACAAACAAGAATGACCCAAAGACAAAATCAGATGTCTGCAGAATGGGGGAAGTCTCAGCTCCACCTCTTGCCAGGCATCTGACCTGAGCAGCTTCACTAAGAGCCTCATTTGCCTTACAGAAAAGGCAAAGATGCTCACAGCAAGTGATTGTGAGAACTGAGTGTGCCAATGTGGGGACAGGGATTAGGACTTGCTGAAGGGTAACTGATGTCATCATCTTGGCCATTCAGTGACCCCTTGAATAGAGTCAGAGATCTAGAATAGTAACTTCTGAGTATGGTCCAGAGCAAGAATCCCTTCTCTAGTCTCCCCACCCATGTGGTCTACCTGTCAGACCTCCAATGACAAGGGGTGTCCCCTTCACACTGGCCTGTCCTACCAATGCATGGCTATCATTCTACCTTGGAAACAGCCTTGACTCAAAATCCAGACATTTGAGTCCAGGTCCTGGTTCTGTCTTCCAGGAGCAGTGTGGTCTTGGACAAGTTACTCTCTTTCTCTGGACTGGTGAACTTCACCTGTGAAGTATTTTGAGTGTCCTTGCACCCTAGAATTGGCATGCCTGCTTGGCTTTTGAGTGTGTCCTTGTGACTTAGGAGCTTGGGTAGGGCTTAGCTGAGGGTCTGTTGGGACAGTGGATGGAAAACGCGTGTGAGGTTTAAGTTTTAGAAAATGATCTAGCCTGTTTGTCTTGGCTTCTGCCCTCAGAAGCCCAATGGCTGTCTCTGACATGACACACTGCAAGACACACACCATCATTTTGTGGTGTACCTGCCAAAAATGCATGAGCTGAATCCAGCCCTGAGGAAAGGCCAGGAAGACTCAAACTGAAGGACATTCCACATAATAATTGGCCTGGACTCTCCAAAAATGTCACTGTCATGAAAGCCCAAAGACTTGTTCCAGATTAAAGGAGATAAAGAAACATAGCAACTAAATGCAATGCAGGATTCTGGGATTCTCTTTTGCTATAAAGGATTTCACTGGAATAGGGTGAAATTTACATACATTCTGAGTGTTGGTATCCTGACATTATAATCATATTGTGTATGGTTATATAAGAAAATACATTTGAAGTCACGTGCAGTGTCACACACCTGTCATCCCAGAACTCAGGAGGCTGAGGCCAGAGAATCACTTGAAGTTCAAGGCCAGCCTGGGCTACACAGTGATTTCAAGGACAGCTTGAACTACATACCGAGATCCTGTCTTAAAAAAAAATATATATATATATATATATATATATTTTATATATATATATATATATTTTATATATATATATTCATTGTTTTTAGAAAAACCCACTGAAATATTTAGGTATAAAGGGATATCATGTCTGCAATTTACTTTCAAAACAGTTCAGAAAAGATGTATATCATATTTTTAGTATATTTGTTTGTATGTAAAAGGAGACAAAGACACACATAGAAGGTAAAATTGGGAAAACTATGTTAAAGATCTATGGGAATTCTTTGTCCTACTCCTGTGACTTTTCTGCAGTAAAGTGGAATTATGCAGAGAAGGTGGTCAGTGGCTACTCCTTTGCTCACCAGCAGTTGTAGCCCCTTGTATTTACTGAGCGCTTACAAGGTGCCTGATGATCTTCTCTGACCCATAGCTGCCCCATTACAGGATGTCATGATGCCACTTTGCAGAGAGGGAACTTAATGTCACATGTCACACTTAGTTACTCTTCCCAGCCTCATGGACTGCAGCTTGTGGCCTGTATGTCACAGAGCTGGGGTGTGAACTTGAACCTTCACTGCCAGAAAGCCACAAATTCTCACACGCTACCTCTGAGGCTGTGCACAGAAAACCTGGCTGCTTTCTTCTTTCCAAAACAACCAAGTGGGAGATGTCAAAGTATAGAGCTAAATTTATTTCAATCCAGTTTGAAACTTGGTGTGATCCACTAATTTAAACATCGATTTGGGATTTCCTGCATTCAGAGAGGTTTGCTCTCTTTGCTGTGATTCCTCAGACTTTTAGATTCCTCTCCCTCAACCCTCCCAAATATAGCCGCTGGGGAAAGGGTGAGGCAGCTGCATGACCTGGTGCTGGCTGGCATCTGCTGGGGTCTGGGTGGGGCTTGGGCCTGGCACTAAGAACATACACTGGCTTTCCAGCTACAGCTGGCTGCTAGTGAGCTGGTTTGGTCTCTCTGACTCCTCAAAGCCTAAGGGTGACACCAGGTTAATATCATCTCATAGTGCTCACATGGCTCTGTTGACCTCTCAGGGTTCTTAGATAACCTCTCTCTAAACTCCACACCTCCACTCCAACCATGAACCCATATCATGGTCCCTAAAATAGTATCCTGGCTCTCAGTTTGGGACCTGGACCACCTAGGAACCAAGGGAGGAAGGGAAGAAGGACTGCTATCCAGGTGGCTTGCTTTGTGTTTGGGGTCAATCAGTACCCCATCCTGGTGGGTAAATAGTTGTTCCCAAGCCCCTTGGAAGCACCCTGCTCCTCTCCAGCTCCCTCTGGCACATCAGAAGATTCTTCTCAGACCAGAAACTAAGGGGTTAGCACCTGGCACACCAGGTGGCTCCGAAACTGTCCCTGCTACCACATAAGTACCCCTTCTGCTGGGAAGTATCTTGAATGTCCCTGCCCTTTCTTAGCCTGAGCACACAGAGGCAGGGTCCACTTAGCCACTTGTACCCAGGACAACACTCTTCCTGAAAGTCTCAAAGGATAGTGGACAAAAGGCCTTGATGGTCCTCAACTTATCCAACACTACTGCCTTGTTCTGGGCTCCAATCCAAGGGAAAGATGGGCAGAGGCTGGAAAAGCAAAACTCCTTCTTTCCAGTCCCTCTTACATCAAGAGTGGCCATGGCATACAGCTATGGCCCAGGAAAAGTGGGCAGAAGTCTGTTGGGGGAGTATCTAGAGAAAGTACTGGCCTTCTTCACAAAAGGCGTGGCAGCCCCAACCAACGCTTCCCTCCTCTAAACAAGACACGAGACCTGAAGGCTTGGTGGTTGTATTGTGACCCAGGAGGATGCACAACTGTGCACCTTGACACAGTGGTTATCTACCACTAAATTTCTTTTTATGTGAGAAAAATAAACCCCTGCTAAATGCTTCTTGTTTTTTCAGAAATGCAATCCTAAGGCATGCAGGAGAATTAAACCACATATATCTCTATCTACCTCCCGACTCTATTCAGGTTTTCTCCCTGTCTTCCTGTCCCATGGATCCACAGGCCTGGAAGAGGCACAGTTCCCTCTACTGCTACTTTCTGCTTGTGTGAAAATTGCTTTCATAAAATGCTTATGGTCAGTTTCACTGGGCAGCCTCTTGAAGTGCTGAAACAGTAGGTAAAATAGAAAAATCCTTCCATTCTCAACAGGGCCACCACTCAAACCCAACATAATGTCTCATTCTGATGCCAGATGCTTATTATTGACTCCATTAGTATTAACTCTTACCACTACCAATTCATTATTACTATTAACTACTGTTATTATTGACTCTCATTATGAACTCTACCTTGTTTTTTTAATTCCTCCTATAAAATCCTAATTTCCTCCTATTATAATTATCCTCATTTTATGGATGAAGAGACAGAGGAGGTTTATAGAGGTTGAGTAATTTGTTCCAGTGTTGGACTTGGCCAGGACTGGAACCATTTACAGTATTAATAATGCCCACTCTCCTGGGCACCTTCCCTCCCTCCACCCACCATCCCTCCCACACCCTAGACTTTGTCCCCATCCCTATACAGAGGGGAACAGAACAAAAAGCAAGTTGGCAGCCTGTGTTTTATTGGAGAGCAAGGGTGCTCAGTTCAGAAGCAGCTACTCATCCTCAGGCATGGGGGGACGTGAGGGCCGGAACATATAGGAGAGACAGCACAGGGATGCATCTGGGCACAAGTGGATAAAGGATTCTTGTCTTGTGCAATACGTCCGGCAGGTCCCTTGGCCCTTCCAGCATCGTTTGAATTCAGTTCTCCCTAGGTAAATGAAGACCACAGATCACAGGGAAGTCCAGCAGTTCCAGGTCACACCACTGATCACAAGTTAGGCCATTAGTTAAACCATACTGGTCATAGGTTCTTTCTGGTCATTTGTTAGACCACTGACCATAGATGAGAGTTCCAGTTACAATTTAGGGTACAGATTTCAGTCCTGGCTATCCCACAGATGACAAGTTAGACCCCTGGTTACAAGTTAGAGACAACTTTCTTGCCCAGGTAACCCAACACACCAGTTACACCCTCAACAATTTTCATAGCAACACTACATCATTATAGTTGGTCTTATTACAATCCCTGCTACACAGGTGAGGAAATAAGGCCTCACAGATATTAATAACTTTAACCCAAGTCACATACCCATTAAGAAGCAGAACCAGGATTTAAACCCAAGCAATCTGGCTCCAGAGTCTATATTCTTAACCATACCTGAGCTGACCCTAGCACACAGAGACTGTTTAATATTAGGTTATAGTTAAGGTTTTCCAACCATGGACTATAGAAAAGGTAAGGCTTTAAGAGAACAGGTTCTGTGCCTCCTTTCAGTGGTCTTTGGTTACAGCATTGTATGAAGCCCCTCCTTCATTTATTCATTCAACAAACATGGAGCACTGAGAATGCCGTAATAAACAATATGACTGTGGTACTTACCATCCTTGAGGAAGGAAGGGAACACAGTTTTTGAACATAAGTACAATAAATAGAGTTTGTAATAACTGTGATAAAGGAAGTAGTTCTGGGATGGCCAGTTCGAGTTGAAGTGGGACAGTAAGGAAGTACTAGGACCACTTGTCTGTTACAGCAACATTTCAAGACACATGGCCTTGAACAAGCAGAGAGCAAGCAACACAGAGGAGCCAGGGCTGAGTGGGAGGTAGAGGGGAAAGGCCTGCCTGCATCTCCCTGCACCAGAGAGACCCCACAGAATCCTCAGATGATGTCTTGGGCCTATCTATGGGTTTTACTAGCCCTGCTGACCAGCCCATCCTTCTATCTTGTCAAAAATCTTAGAATGATACAATGCTAGCCTCAAAATCTCTACCAGGCAAAGAATCCACACTTAGGGAAAGTATGTGATCTAATGGTTAAGAGTGTGATGTGAACCCATCTCCAACCTGCTAGGTCCAAATCCCAGCTATGGCATTTCCCAGTTGAGTGATATTGGCCTTAGATTCCCCATCTGTATAATTCTCTTTCAGAGGGCAGTTACAAGGGCCGGGATGTAGCTCAGCAGCACAGCACCTGCCTGGCAAGCACAAAGCCCTGAGTTCAATTCCCAATACCAAAGAAAAGAGAAAAAGACCAGAGGGCAGTTACAAGATCATTTTAGCACCATGCCTGGCATGTAGTGAATGCTCAATAAATAGAAAGTGAGATTACCAGAATGGCAGCCTAGTAGTTGGAGCAACCAAGGCCCATTCTAGGTAAACTCACTTTCCATATAAAGAAAGGAGAGGACTTGCTCAAGATCATTTGCTGTTAAGTGATGAGTCTGGGAACAGAACCCAAGCCCTAGACTCCCAGGTCAGGCCAGTCCCTATACTAACTACTTGAGCAATCATCACAACTGAACTTCCAGGCATCCCAAGACCCCAAAGCCATTATTTTCCCCTGGGTGATCTGCTCTCCCTGTTATGTCCTGGACTCGGCATCCCACACTTTCTTTGCACTCCCTACTCCAGCCACACTGGCCTCCATGGCTCCTCAAACAATGACTCTCACCCTCCTGCCTCAGGCCCTGAGGCCTGCTGTTCCCTTGCTGTTCCCACCTGCTAGAACAACCTCTCCTTGTGTTCTTGACTGATTCAGAACTCTGCTCAGACCCACTTTAAACAAAGTGATAAGATCACTGGGATATCCTTCCAAATAGCTTGCTGATGAGGAGATGGAAGAAGTAACAAAACTAGATTGGTTCAAGTCCTTAAGTGTTCTGGTTAGGTGATAAGTACGTAGGGAATCTTTATACCATTTTTCATTTCTGTTTGTAATTTTCTAAAATAAGAAAGTTTATTTTCAAAACTCACATCATTACATTATTCCCTATTTTTGCATAAATTTAAATTTTTCCATAATAAAAACATTTTTAACTTGCCTTTTGGGACTAGGGTTATAGCTCAGTAGCTGAGAATGTGCTTAGCATGTGCAAGGCCCAAGGTTTGATCTCAGCACACAAACACACACACAGAGTCAAGCGTGGTGGAAAACACCTGTAATCTCAGCTACTTGGGAGGCTGAGGCAGAAAGATTGAAAGTTTGAGGATGGTCTGGGCAATTGAGTAAGATCCTGCCTCAAAATAAAATAAAAAAGGATGGGATGTAGCTCAGTAGCAAAGCACCTCTGGGTTGGATTCCCAGTATTGAAAAAACAAACAAAACAAAAGTCTTGTTCATTATATTATTCTATTTTCAGAGGTACTTGAAATATTTTCCAAAATAAAGTTTAAAAAAAGAGCCCCATCAAGAGGCCTTCCTTGACCACCCTATCGGCCTTCCCATCCCCCACCCACACATGCTACTCTGAGCCCTTACCTTGTCTCTATTCCTCTTAACATTTGTTACCACCTGACACATTCTATATTTAGCTGTCTCTTTTCTATTTCTGCCAATAAAATGTCAGCTCCACAAAAGCAAGGATCTTATTTTTCTTTTACTGTTAAATTCCAGCAATCCCAACAGTGCCTGACACATAACAAATGTTTTTGAATGATTATTAACAGAATCCCATTTTACAGACCAGGAAACAGGTAGATGCAGGCTGATTCAGCAACTTGCTCTAAGCCACCCATCAAGTCAGTGGTGGAGCCAGAACTTAGAAGCTGACCTGGGCCCTTCTGTCCTCCAGGGCCTGATAGCCTATTCCTCAGTTTACACGTGCACACCACACACACCACACACACACACACACACACACACACACACACACACAGAGGTGATGTTACCTGGTGGGGCATGACCCAGGACCAGGAGAGCGACAATGAGCAGAAGCAGCTGTGTCATGGCAATGGAGCTCCTGTGGAGGCCTAAGAGAACTCCAGAGGTGAGGAAACAAGTGAGTGGCTGAGCTCAGCTGTCTGCTGCCCGGCCTTTATTGGGCTACGAATGAAGGCAGGGCCATGGACAGCAAAACTGAGTGGGAGGATGAGGCAGTGTAGTCCCAAGGCTGCTCAAGATCTCAGCCAGCAGCTGTACCGGCCAGAGGCTGCCCAGCTCCAAAGCTGGAGGCTGAATTTTCTGAAGCAATGCCTGGGGCAAAAACTAGACATTTTGAAAATAAGAACCAAGATAGAGTATGTAAAGGTGCAAATTCCCAATGATGAATGTCATTATATTGTATACCTAAAATGTACCAATAAATTAATAGTATAAAAAAACTAGACATTTTGTCCATAGGAGAGAGTGAGAAGCGCCTTGACAGAAGGAAGACCTCATTCAATCCCTGCATCTCCTCCTAATGGCTATGAGACCTGAGACAATTCACTTAACTTCTCTGAGACCCAGGCTATGGCCTATCTAATAATGCCTTTGCAAGCGTAGTAAATGGATATTTCCCTTCCTAATGCCAAGGAGATGGAGCCAAGTAAGCATGTGTTTAGACCTACTCTAAAACTGGGAAGAGTATGTACCTCAAAGACAGTAATAGCTATCTAATGCAGAAAATTAAATGAAATGATGCAATGGTTCTCAAAGTGGGGTTCCAAAACCAATAAGCACCTAGACCTGCTAGAACTGCAAATTTTCCAGTCCTACACCAAACTTACCAATCAAAAATTCTAGAGAGTGGATTTCTCAATAAGCTGTCCAGGTGATTCTCATGCACCACTGAGGCCTGAGAACCACTAAGATACTATAGGATTGGAGCTTAGAATTGAGTCTGGTACACAGTTATCTGAGTTTCATATGAGATGAGAGGAGACAAGCATCGCAGGCAGAAGAAACAGTGTCTAAAAGAGTGCGACATGGGCAGAGCAAGGTTTCCTAAGGTGAAGAGAACAGGAGCCAGAGCATCATGGGACTTGAGCACCAAATTCAGGTTTTTGTAGTATAGACAACCAAATGTTTTTTAGCAGGATCGTGTTTAGCAAACCTGTTCAGATTACAGTTTTAAATAAAGAAACTGAAACCCAAGGAGAAGAGTTTATTTCCTAGGCTCATAGCGACTGACTGGCAGAGCAGGCCTGGCAGTGTCACTTCACTGCCAGACACTGAAGGCTGCTACACCACACTCAGCCCCTTGTGCAGGTGGAAAGGGGAGGCTCAGAAGGCCAGCCTCGGAAGGAGACAGGTGAATGGGTGTTCAGCATCTTCCCCTAAGACCTTCCGGGGCTGAGCTGTGGGAGTTGTTCCAAGCTAGACACCTGGACCCCCTCAGCCATGACAATGAGCCCCACCCACAGGTACAGCCTGGTCTCCATGAACCCCACACACTTACACACCCCAGTCCATCAAGAGGTAAAGAAAGCATCCTACTCAAAACTGGATCCTGGCCCCACCTACACATCCAAGCCCTACAGCCAGCCTCTCTTCTATCAAGATCAAGGCCTTTCCTCCTCTTTCTCAGGTCTTTAGGCTGAAAGGCAGAAAGACCTGAGTCTCAGACTCAGCCAGTCTTCAGCTGAATGAACAAATGAATAAATGACACCAACACCAGATGTTGTATTCAGAACTCTTCCGTGCAGGCTTCCCCTGCTCTCTTCCCTCAAGACACTGCCCAAAATTAATCCTCCAGCCAAAGCAGTTTCTCAAAGTGGGGTCTGCGAACTATTTGCATCAGGATCACCTGGAATACTTGTTTTATTGAAATGCAGGTTCCTGAACCTCTCTCCCAGGACTGCAGAGTGGCTTTTGTGAGGGCTAAATTTGGCGTTCCGGGTTGATGGAGTGGACCAATGCTGACCCAGAGGGGAATTCAGACCCAGAAACCCAGAGCCCCGTGCCCCTCCCTAGTCCCCTACCCCAACACTGCCATCCCAGATCGGGAAGACTGGAGGCGTCGGTTTCGCTGAGTTCTGGGCTCGGAACAGTCTCAGCGCAGCCCAGGCCTCTGGGCGGGGACCCGGGGGCTGCCTGGACGGGGCGGGGCGGGACGGGGCGGATCGCACTCCTCCCCGCCCCGCGGCGGGGTGGGACTGGCCAGAGGGGCTGCGCGCCGGAGCGGGTGGTACAGCCTCGAGCACCAAGCAGCTTAGGCAGCAGGGACCGGGACCCTCCCCAAGCAAAGGTAAAGTTAGCGCAACCCGCTGCCAACTAGCTCAAGTTGGAGCAGAGTTCGCTGGCGTCTGCCCCCGGCTGGTGCAGCGTGGGCGGGCTGGGAACTGCGAGGTGCGTCCGGGGCGAGGGTCTCCAGACCTGGGGCGCGGAGGGCCGGCGGGCCCCGGACAAGAAAGCCCTTTGCCTCCCCATCCCGGGGGACTCACACCTAGAACCCCAGGCTGGGAAGGTTCGGGCCCAAACTCAAGAGATGGAATATCCGTTCCCGGGCCCTGTGGGCTCCGCTCCTGGTCCCTGGCCAGGACCCTGTCTTGTCACCAAACCTGGGGCCTGGCCAGCCAGCAGCTCCCACTCCCCCAACAACAGCTGGAGGCCGTAGCGCCAGCCGCTCCTGAATTTTTCACGCAGGGGGCGGGCCGGACACGCCGTTCCCATGGCACCAGGGCACTCGGGTTACAGCCCGAAGGGTACCCCCAGCCCCAAGTCCCCATAGGGCACCAACCTAACCTGTCTTCCCTCCTCCTCAGACCAGGTGGGACAGGACAGCGGAAGTAACCCCCTAGGCGCCCTCAACCTTCCCCTGCACCCCCCAACCCAAAATGAGTGAAAAGAGACCAGTGGAGAAGGGGGGAAATGGGCAGTTGCCCTGCAGGGCACAGCGATGGTCTCCCTCTGATGCGATTGTCTCACTCATGGAGCCTGTGCACACATGGACCTCTCCCCCTCCGGGCTGCCTGTGTCATCAGGGGTGGGTCATCCTCAAGCGTGGGAAATGGATGTGTGTGTCCGGATGAGTTCACAGCCTGTGTTCACCCATTCCCACCTGATGCAGGTTTGCCCTGGGCCTGAAGCCAGAAAACCCCCACCCCAAGGAGCAGTAGTGTCTCCCATTGAACAAGAGGGGACTCTGGAAGAAGCCATCTCAACAGCTCCCTAGGAGCTTCTAGAAGAAAGGGCTCAAAGCAACTGCCTCACTGCCCTTCCATCTTCTAAGAAGGAAGGAAGGAAGGAAGGAAGGTCGGTCCAAAGCCCCTTCCCACCAAGGATGACACTAAACACCCAGCAAGAAGCAAAAACTCCCCTCCGCCGCAGAGCTAGCACTCCACTACCCCTGTCATCGCGGAGCCACCAGCCTGGCCGCCTGTGCACAGCATCCCCAACTCAATCCCAGCATCCCCCACTGGACCAATCAGCCTCCCTCAACCCTCCTGCCCGGAAACCCTCACCTGCCCCAGATAGCTGGTCCTCTGAATCCAGCGACTCTGAAGGCTCCTGGGAGACCCTCTACCGAGTAGTGCTGCTTGGAGACCCTGGTGTAGGGAAGACCAGCCTGGCCAGCCTCTTTGCAGGGAAGCAAGAGCGGGACTTCCATGAACAGCTGGGAGGTAGGGTCTCCGTGAGATGACATGGGCTGGGATGTGGCCAAAGGAGTGAAAGGCCTGTCACCAGGGCATGGGACTGCCAAGAACAGTTGTACAAGTCATGCACGCACTGTGCAACTTGAAGGGGCATGATCACACAGACCATGAGGTAAATGATGCTCACCTAGAATTGTGCAGCACCATGGTCTAGGGGAGGGAAATGCCATGGAGTGAGAAACGTGCCCATTTCCCATGGATGAGAAACATATAATTCATAAGGGGAACAGTTCTAAAAACTATCAATGTTAAGAAATGATGGACTCTACCCAGCTCAGAAACCTCCAGTGCTAGGTCCCCCAGACTCTCAGACCTCCAGTTCCACAGATACCAAATGGTGGCTACCATTACCTACAGCATCTTCCCTCAATGGAGACACCCATATCTCCAGTTCTGGGCCCTGGGTTGCTTTAATCCCAAGAAATGTAATGAACTAACAGGGCCAGGGGCCCCAGGATGGTGGGATACAGGGACAGAAGAAATGCAGGCCACGGGCCGGGGATTTAGCTCAGTGGTTTCGCCGCCTGTTGCACAAGCGCAAGGACCTGCTTTCGATCCCTGGTACCAAAAAAAAAAAAAGAAAGGCAGGCCTGCCCCTGCAGGACTGGCTGAGAGGACACAGGGTGAGTGGGGAGGAGGATGGTTAAAAGCAAAGAGAAGGTGGGAACAATCTGGCCAGGCTCCTCCAGCCTTGACCCTCCTGTGAGTGAGACCTGTTATGAAAAGTGTACATGTGTATTCTTATAGGTGTTACAGATGGGGAAACTGGGGCCCAGAGAGGCTAACATGACATGCCTGGATCACAAGCTGAGCTTGTAGATTGGGCGGAGACATCTCAGAGGCCACAGCAGGAATGGGAGAATTCCCAGTCCACTTTTAACCCCACTACCTCACTCACTTGATCAACCAAACCAATCTTCCCAGCACCTACCATGTGTCAAGTGCTGTGGGGAAGGGGGTAGAGGGGGCTCTTCATGGAGCTTCTTGGCCTACCAGAAAGACAGGGATCAAACAGTGTGTTGAGTACCCCAAGGATTGGAGGAGGAGCTGACCAGAAAGGGAGTCTAGGGAGCCCACATGCTCTGCAGGCCTGCCCTCCTCCCTGAGAGCTGCCTCTTCCATTGGTTGCAGATGTGTATGAGAGGACCCTCACAGTGGACGGAGAGGACACCACACTGGTGGTCATGGACACCTGGGAGGCCGAGAAACTGGTATGGCATTGGAAGTAGAATTGGTGGGAAGAGGTGCTGAGCCAAATATCAGACTCCTGTGCCCTCCTGGGACACACAGAGCAGGGATCAGGGCAGGGTCCCTCCTTATAGCCCACGGCCTTCCCAAAGACAGAAGAACTTCATACCCCACTGATTCCCTCCCAGTAGCCATCTCAGAATGTGCTCCTTCCCTACAGACCTCCCCACCCCTCATCCTGCCCCACCCACCCACAGTACAGAAGAAGGAACACTGGGTTTGGGACACAAATGCCTATGGTTGAAATTCCCCTTCTTTTTATTACTTGTTACATAGCTTTGTGCAATTGACTTACACACTCTGACTTTCCATTTTCTCATCTGATAAATGAGTCAATTATTCCTGCCTTCATCATCAGCTAATTTTGTTGTTGTTGCTTGTTTGTTTGTTTTCAGTGCTGGGGATCAAACCCAGGGCTTCTTGCATGCTAAGCATACACTCTACCACTGAGACCATCATCAACTGATTTTTTTAAATTTCTTATGTAATTCCACAGAGGTGAGCCCAGTTCAGAGCATGAAAAAAATGTTACACAGGGGCAGAGAATTGTATGTGACAGTTCTTAAGTTATAACTCGGTAATTAGTGAAAAAGAAAACCAAAGTGCATTCTTCCTTATCCACTTCCAGAGCAAGAAGTGAACAGCACACAAGGACATGTCTCTTTTAAATGATTTTATCTTATTTGGGTTTTCTTTTCTCATGCTACATAGGTAATAATGCTTATTGTAGAATTTTGAGGAAATACACCTAAGCAAAGAGAAGGATACAAAAACTACCTGGGATCCCATCTCTCTATGGGCAGACCCCTCCCCTAACACTCAGGGAGCCCCCACCCATGGGGTGGGGCTTAAGAGGGCAGAGGGATGATTGACAAGAATAACTGGCAACTCCATGGATGAGCCCAAAGAAAGATGATGAAGGAGCCATGTAGCCAATTCCTTTTAACAAACATAAAAGGAAACCCAGGTCCAAATGAGCTTAATTATGATGATTCTTATAACAGCAGCTTACATGAACAGACTACCTTCTTCCACCAGATGTAGAAGCATTGGATATATATTATGACATTCAGTCAATACAATTACAATGTGAGTCTTCTGACTCCCATTCTACTGATGAGAAACTGAAACCCAAAGAGATTAAATAATGTGTCCCAAGCTCCCAAAGAGAAAGTAGGATTCAAACCACATCTACAAAACCTCAGAGCCCTTCCCCTCAGGTGCATCACCTTCTGAACCTTCAGCTCAGGTTTCACTTCTTCACCTCTCCATCCATCCATCCATTCATCCATTCAGAAATTACATGCTGGGTGTCTACCATGGGATAGGATGCTGGAGACACAGAAGTAAACCCAACAGACATGTCCTCTAGCTTCATGGAGCTCCCAGGCTGGTAAGGAAAGCACCACTGCACCACTTGTTGGTGAATTCTATGGGGTAGAGTTCGGTAGGGATAAAAAGAGTGACCAGACTGGGAGTCCCACTCTGGAGATAAGTGAGGAAAGGCCCCGCACCAGAGGGCAAGAATTGGGAGTTGTGCATGGCTTGCCCTGTGACCCTAAGAATGTTTTCTCCTCTCCTCTGGCCTTTGCTATTTCTTCAGTTTCTCTAGTTGAAGGGAGTTCCCAGAGAGGGGTCAGCAGTAGCAGCCTTACTGGACTGAGCATCTGTCCTTTCCATCTGTGGGCAAGAGGATACTCTGATGTCAGACAGGCAGAATCTGACTAAACTAGGTGGGCCTTTGGCTCATCCGGTAGTGCCCTAGCTTGTCTGGCCTCAGGGTCACGTGGAGAGTATTAATTAAATTCTTAGCCAGTCAGTGTGGTGCAGGCCAGTAATCCCAGGACTCAGAGCCAATTCAAAAGGATCACAAGTTTGAGCTCAGCCTGTGGCAACTTAGCAAGACCCTGTCTCAAAACTAAAAAGAAGGGCCGGGGATTTAGCTCAGTGGTTTCAGTGCCTGCTGCGCAAGCGCAAGGACCCAAGTTCAATCTCCGGTACCAAAAAAAAAAACAAACTAAAAAGATCTGTGTGGGTAGCTCAGTGTGAAGGCTCTGGGTGCAATCCTAGTACCTCACAAATAAATAAGTAAATAAAATTCTTAAGCCTCATCCCAGACCTAATGAATAAGATCACCTAAAATTGGGGCTCTAGAATTTATATTTTTAGTCATTCTATTAATGGGTTCTTATCTATCAATCTGTGATCTAGACACATAGCAAATTCTCCACACATATTTATACAATTAATGAATGAATAATCAAGACCCATCCTCTCATTCTACAGATGGGGAAACAGACCGAGAAGGAAGAAGGAACCCATACATGTCAAGGTTCAGAACCCACGTCTGTCTGATTCCACCCAAAGGTTACTTAGCCTGGGGAATAATCAATATGGTTCTTGAGAGCTTACTCCTTTGACAATGATGTTGATGATGATCTGATATTTTCCTATTTGTCTGTCTTATTTGGCTATCTGGAAATGTTTCTGGCTTCTTCCTCCCTTATAGCCAATACTTCTATTACACACAGTCCGTCCTATTGTAGGCCTTAGCTCTGACTCTCCCCCTTTATCTGCAATCTCTTCTCCTGCTTGGCCTGCTCAACCTCTCAAACATTACTCACCAGACCACTAGGAAGCCCTTCCACGCTCTTCCATGTTGTTTTTCTGACCGCCCCACCCCTATGACCCTTCCAGCAAATGCCTCTGCTCATGATACTGACTGCAGTCCATTAGTACCCTCCATTCCCATCACTTATTTTCCAGACCATGAGTTTCTTGAAGGGAGGAACTATGTCTTATTAAACATAATATTAAATATAAATGTGTGTGGTCATCACCCACATGGCCCAGTCTTTAGTGCTGTCCTTGGTAAATGACCACCATCCAAAAGGGAATATCAAAATCACTCCAGTTCTTTCCTTTCCCTGATGAAACAACTTGAAAGTACTCCAATTCTCAAAGTGCCCCTTACTACTTCCATTCCCTTCTGAACTTATGAGGTGTTATCAGAAAAACACTAAAGTTACATTCTTCTATACATGAAAAAGTGAAGCCAGGCATGGTGGTGCACACTTGTAATCCCAGCACTTGGGAGGCTGAGGCAGGAGGATCACTGTGAGTTCTAGACAAGCCTGGGCTACATAGTGAGTTAAAGGCCAGCCTGAACCACATAGTGAGATCCTGTCTCCAAAAAAAAAACGACAGGAAGGAAGGAAAAAGAAAAAGTGAGCATGATTATGAACAATAAAAATACAGTGGATATTTAATTTTAAAAATAATTATTACAGTAAAGACACATTGCTAGTAAGCCCTCTCAGAATACTCCACCTCACTCTGAGCACACTTATCTCATCATTCTTACCACGTTCTGAAGCAGTTCTGGAGTCCTCTTAAGGGAGTATCAGCCTGTCATGGCTGTCCAATGTCCTGACTCCATTTCAGACCTTCGCCCTTCATGGTCATTTTGACTTTGGGGCTAGCCAGAAGTCACACAATGCTAGGTCTGGTGAATAAGGTGGATGAGGTACACACACATCTTATGTCTTTAAAAGCCTTCTTTTCTGTTGGATGGCATTTGGCAGAAGCATTCACCATATTTTTTTTTAATCACATCTCATAAAGACACTCATGAAAGACTTCCAGAACTGCTTCAGGAAGCAGCAAGAGTGGTAGGATAAGTGTTCAACATGAGAGGGAGTATTTTGAGGGGGATTAATGCCAATGTGTCTTTTACTATAATAACTTTTTATTTAAACGTTCGACTGTATATTTTGATCACCTCTTAGGCACTTCACAGGTGCTTCTTCACCTCTCTCTTCAAAACTGCCCTGAAAAAGGCCTTCCCTGAAGATGCTTTCTGTCCTTGCTTCTCTCCTTGTTCTCTGCCTCAATTCTGGGTTGCAGAAGGCCTAATAAACTGTGTGGCAAAGCCAAACCCTCCTCAGAAACCAGATGAAAGAGCTGAACAGGCAAAGCCAAAACCCTACCTACCAAGAAGGGGAACCACAGAAATCTTTGCTGCCAGTGCCAGCCTACAGAAGTAAGCAATGAATGAAGCATGAAGTAAGGGAATGTCTGCTCATTTTTTCAAGTAGAGAAACTGAGGCTCAGAGAGGGTCAGTAGTTTTTCCAAAGTGATTCAGAAAATTATGAAAGCATTTGTTTCCCAAAACCTGTCCAAGGTATAACCTCAAACCTATTCTGTCCATCAAACCAAGCCAGCCTCCTTCCTAGCCAGGGCCTGAGCACCCTCTAAGAAGCGGGCTGGGGTCCCTCCCCTGCAGGACGAAAGCTGGAGCCGGGAGTCCTGCCTGCAAATGGGCAGCGCCTATGTCATCGTGTACTCCATCGCAGACCGCGGCAGCTTTGAGAGCGCCTCAGAGCTCCGCATCCAGCTGCGGCGAGCACACCGGGCAGACCACGTGCCCATCATTCTCGTGGGCAACAAGGCAGACCTGGCCCGCTGCAGGGAAGTCTCCGTGGAAGGTGAGACATCCTCCGCACCTCACTCCACCCCTACCTCGGGTCTCTCCGCCCTACCGCTCTTCCTCCCATCCACCGCCATCCTACAAGCAGCCCTGGGTCCTGGCAGGCCCACCTCCCTTAGTCTCACACTCCCTCCCTCCTTACCCGCAGCTTCTGCCCTGTCCTAGCATCTCTACTTTGTCCTGAGTCAGCCCCTGTGCTTCTCTGGCCCCACTCAATCTACCCTCACCAACTGCAGTTTTCCAGAGCAAGAGCTGACCTTGTCATTTCTCTGCTTAAAAATCCCCCCCATGGGCACCCCCCTGCTGCCTGGGCTCAGGGCCACCCCTAGTCTCTGCCTCCAGCCACTCACCATTCCTCACCAGCCACCCATGGGTGACCCTGACAGCCCATCTAGGCCAAGGTCGGCATCCTCAGGCTGACTTGGCCAAGCTGAACCCACTTGGGCTTCTGCCTGGACCCCACCAGCTCACACCCCTTCTCCCTGGCCAGGGACCACTCTAAACCCTGTCCTGTGCCCTCCCAAGCCCCAGATCCCTGCAACCCAGGCACTGGCCTTCCCCCAGACCACAGCAATGGCCCCACAGAGAAGGGAGAGGAACAAAGCCAGGCCCCCTCCTGCCCAAGAGCCCTGGCCCACCTGTGCCTGCACCTCAGGCCTCTACCCTCCTCCTCCCAACTCTTGCCTTCTCAGAGGTCAGATGCAACGGGGCTGAAGACCTCCTACTCTTCACCTCTGCCACTCTTCTGGGTTCTGCCTCATTCATCAGGCCAACTTGGGCCCCAGGGAACCCACCCCTCGTGTAAACACGGGAGGGCCCTGCAGGCGCCACTGCCAGGCACCTGCTCAGGGACTGGCCAGCTGCCTGGCTTCCTCGCCTGTTCCCACACCTGCCCACTGCAGCTCTGCCCCCTGGGTGTCCTGGCAGAGGATGAGGACACAAGGAAGCAGCTGTGGAAACACCTGACACCCAGGAAGGAGGCAGAACTCTGGCTCTATGGGGCAGAGGGTCCAAAAAAAAAGAAAAAAAAAAAACAACCCTGGATCAACATGCCCTTAACCAGAGGCGCTCTATCTATCAGATTTGATAGCCCCAGTGCCTACCAGCTTTTCAAGGACTTGCACTTAGGAATTTAAAAAGATCGTTAGTGGCTCCACAATAAAATTAGAAAATTATAAATTCAAATTTCATAAAAAAGAAAGCAATCCAATAAAAAATTGGCAAACCAAAAAAAAATTTCAAATTTCATAAAGCTTTGTCTAAAAAAAATTGTATCAGCCAGGAATTACGAACCAAAACTTTCTAAATTATATATGAATTATATTTACAGTGTGATAGGGAATATTTTAATGTTTCATATTTCTTGTAGGGCCAATAAAGATCTTAAAATGGCCCTACTCATGGGGTAAACCTAAAAAATATGGAAAGCCAGACCCAGACAGGGAAAGCCAGTTTCCCAGAGTCACCACCCCTGCAGGAATGGACTCAGACCCCCCACTCCCACCCTGGTCCCAGTGGCATCCTGGAGATGGAAAGCCACATAATCTGGGGACAGATATCCGGAAAAACTGCAACAGAATCCATAGATTTTGTTAAAACACAGGTTCCCAGACCTCATCCCAAACCTAAGGAATCTGAATCCCTGAAGGTAAGCACAAGAATCTGCATTTTAACAAACTCCTCCAGGTAATTCCAATACCTGGGAAGTTAGGCCTCTTAATCTGGCATTCAACCCAGTTCCTAACCTCCGGGTCTTCCCAGCCACCAGCATCAGTCCCTAGAGTGTGAACTAACTCCTCCACACCTGATATGATTCATCTCTGATTTCCCTGACACCAGCACCAGGTATGAGTTCAGGGAAAATTACCTGGAGTAGAAAATGAATTTGCCTCTTTCTACCTTCGTGTAACTTTCTGGTTATGGCTCCACCCCTCCTGCCTGACCACGCCCCTCAGAGGGCCGCGCCTGTGCTGTGGTGTTCGACTGCAAGTTCATCGAGACGTCAGCAACCCTGCAGCACAACGTGGCCGAGCTCTTCGAGGGCGTGGTGCGCCAGCTACGCCTGCGTCGCCGGGATAGCGCAGCCCAGGAGCCCTCAGCACCGCGACGGAGGCCCAGCTTCGGCCAGCGCGCTCGTCGCTTTTTGGCTCGCCTGACGGCCCGCAGCGCCCGCCGCCGAGCCCTCAAAGCCCGCTCCAAGTCCTGCCACAATCTAGCTGTGCTCTGAAGCCACGCACCCTTCCGGAGGTGATGGGACACTGGGATGCAGTCCGAGCTTCCCCTGAGCTACTGAGGAGCAAGAGCGGCATGGCCCGAAGTCCGCACCTCGGGCCTTACCTGCTGGCTCCCTTGATGGCCAGAGCATAGCCTAGAGCTAGAGTCTCAAGGAGCACTTGACATGGGGAAGTGATGGACAGACTATGGGCCAAAGCCTCAAGACGGATGCAAAATAGGGTGTTTTTAACGTAATGGGTTTCCTTTATAAAAAATCTCCCTTGTCTCTAGGTTCTCTGACCTATGCTCAGAAACCCCTACAATAAACCAGTCCAGAAAGCTGTCCTGTCTGAGTGCCCAGACTCCTCCTGGGCTCTCCAGACATTTCTTCCTCCTGTCCTTCCATCTACACTGCCTGTAGACTGGTTTATCCTGCTGGCCTTGTGTCCAGGCCAACCAATAAAATCGCAGGCCAGTTGTGTGCTGAGGCCCTCTCTCAACCACTGGGTATGGTGCCTGTCCTTGAGATACACACAGGGTCACTGCCAACCACATCTCGGTGTGGCCCACTATTTTCTCCTTAATTCATTTTCTGGATTATACATTCACAAAATATTGTATGGAAAGAATCTTAGCACTCATTCTGGTAATATAATAGCTGGCATTTGTGGAAGTTGTGTGCTAAACTGTCACAACTATTAAGTAAACTTCGCCTGGGAGGAGAATATTACCTTTAACCTGGTTTGATTAATTAGGAAACCAAGGCCCAGGACAGTGGAGGCTCAGGCCCAGGATAATACAACTCCTCTCAGTGAAGTGGCCAGGATTCCAACCCAGGCTTCTTCTGCTAGTAGCTACACAATTTATCCACAGTCCCGTCTTCCTTAAGAATGTGACAGCGGGGCTGGGGGGGGGGGGTGTCAGAATTTAGCTCAGTGGTTTCGCCACCTGCTGTGCAAGCACAAGGACCCGAGTTCGATCCCTGGTACAAAAAAAAAAAAGAATGTGACAGGGTATTTGGGAGTCTGGGACCAGCCTGGATGCTTAGCAAGACCCTACCTCCAATTAATTAAGCAGTAGCTTATCTAGCATGTATGAAGCCTGGGGCTCCATCCCCAGCACTGCAAAAAGGAAGAAAAAGAAAACACAGTAAAAAAAAAAAAGGGGGGTGGGGAGAATATGACAAAACCCTATAGCATCTGAGGGAGACAACCTTTCAACATAATTCTGCATACACTTTAAGGGCTGATGGGGCATGAATGCCATGAAACTTGATCCATTAGTCCCTCAGGAGAAACCCCAATTTAGTCCAATCCATTCATTTTCCAAATGTGAAAACTGAAACCCAATGGGGGCAGTGAGTACCCACCATCCCCAGGTCATCCAGCCAGCTGAGGATAACCCCTGCGACCTCTTCTTGGCTATGAGGAAGACAGAAGATAGCAAAGTGTCCAGCCTGGCTGGGACAGGGCTGGGTGTAGGTCAGGAGTTTCCAGCCGAGAGAGGGGCGGGTGTCACTGCTCTGAGAAGAGAACAAGATGCAAACGTTTGGGTCATCGTGTCACCCCTACCCCCAACCAGATGCTTGCCAGACAGTCGCCTCAGCCCAGCTGGTGGACCACCACATCGCAGCAGGCCCAGGACTGCAGTGAGAGCCAACCCCCACCCCAACAGGGCTTGCCAGCCAGCTCGAGTGGTACCTTCTCCCCCATCCCAACACCAGCCCAGGGAAGGGAAGGGAAGCAGGGTCTCCCTCACCCCAAGCTGTCTCCGGCCACGGTCGGCAGTGGGGGAGGGCTCTAGCTGTGGAAAGTTGGCAGAGGCAGCCGGCAGCCGACAGGAGTGGAAAAAATGATATCAAACCCAGAAAAATCCAAGCCAGATGAAGGGCCAGAGTCAGCTTTAGAAACGAAAGACTGTCACAGTCACTCCTTTCTTCATCCACAAGTATTTATTGAGGGTCTACTCAGTGCTGGGTACAGTGCCAGGATTTGGGAGGTGGGAACACCAAGGAGGAGGGGGTACTTGCTGCTCCTTGGAGCTCGTCACAGCCTGGAGGGGGAGGCAGACTAGACAATAAATAAGTGAATAAAATAATTACAAAATGATAGGGGCTGAACCTACTAGGGTTGCATAATGAGCAAATGGTAGGGCCAGAATTCACATAGGGACATCTAATCCCACAGTGTTAAAGGCTCACCTATATTGCACCAAGCCCAGACATACTGGCATAAAAGGGAGGAGTCTTTGCCCTGCACTCTGCTGCCTGGGGTGGGCACAGGGCAGAGAACAAAGGTACATTAAGAGATGGTAGGTGCAGTGGCTCACACCTGTCATCTCAGCACTCTGAGGTTAAGGCAAGAGGATCACAAGTGCAAGTCCAGCTTGGGCAACTTGGTGATTAGTGAGATCCTACCTCAAATTAAAACACTTTTTAAAAGGGGCTAGAAATGTAGCTCCATGCAAAAGCCCTGGGTTCAATTCCTAGTACACACACACACACACACACACACACACACACACACACACCCCCCACATGAAGAGTCCTTGGCCACAGCTGGGACTTTCCACCTTAAATGGAGGATAGTGTTATGGAAAAAATGATAAAGCTCTGGAAAGATGAATATCTCCCCAGGGGCCCCCAAGTCTCCACAGAGTTGTCTCCCCCCTTGCTGTGAGGGAGGGTCACAAACTGCTGGTCTGATCTGATGAGATGAAGGCCACCTGGCTCTTGAGATACCCCAGCCGGGCTGCTCAGAATACTGAAGATCACTGTCCATGATGGAAAGTTTTGATTTCCCAGCCAGGAGCACGAAGCTTCTGATTGGAGACCCCCAAGGAATCAATGTCAGGCCTGAAGTGCCTTGTCCCTGGGTGGCAGGAAATATACCTCTCACAGGGCTCAGCTCACTCCTTTCATTCTGCAAACAGTGACAAGGGTGTTTGCTGCAAAGGAGGGTTACAGAGCATAGAGGTCACAGCTGACAGACATGGGGACTTCCAAGCCCCTGCCAGGAAGGGAATGGAAGGGAAGGGGAGGGGTAGGAAAATTCTTCTACAACTGTTTTAGAGAGATCAAGATTCTCTCAGTTCTGTCATAAGCATGTGACCTTAGACAAGTCAAAATATACAATTTGGAGAATGAAGATAGAATTCTCCATGTGATTGTCTTTGTCTCAAGAACATTTGAATATTTTAGTTCAACAGCTTGAAAAAATACACAAGTTCAGTTTCAGTTTGAGTACTGTTCCCTTCTTCAGTTCAGGGTTCAGTTAAAAATAATACTAATGACTGGGTGGGAGCTTTGAGTTCAGCAATGTGTGCAGTTTTCCCCAGTTCCATCTGGTTCAAGTTCAAGGTTAGGGGTGTGTGTGTGTTTGTGTGTGTGTGTGTGTGTGTGTGAGATGACTTACGCTCCCTTGCTTCATGAATGTGACAAGATGTTGGTAGAAAAGCATGGGCTTTGGGACCGGAAAAAAACCCACCATTGCTTCTCAACCTTTTGGCTAAGATCAAGTGTAGAAAAAAACACTCGTTCAATCCTATCTCAGGCACTTGGTCCCTGGGATGTCATTTAGCTTCCTTTCTTCACCTTAAAACTGGAGGTGATAATTCCTATCCCATAGAATTAAATGTTTTTCAATATTTGAGAATGTCCTGTGTATACCTAGGCACAGAGTAAATATTTAGGAATCTGTTGTATGTTAGTTACTTTTCTCTCATTGCTGAGACAAAATACCTGACATTCAAAGTTAAAGGGGAAAGGGTTTATTTGAGCTCACAGTTTGTAGAGGTTCCAGCCCATAATCGGCTGGCTCCAAGGCAGAGTGGCACATGACAGAGAGGCATCACAGAGGAAAAACAGTTCATGGCACCCACACAGTAGCAAAAGCAACAAGGGAACCTTAGCAATGTCTTTCTGCCCCTTTTGTCTTATCCAGACTACCGGGACTAGGGCAGTGCCAAACCAATCAGTGTACTGGTTTAGTAATCACATGTCCTTAATCCCGCATCACACATTCTAGATTCAGCCGCCTCTGAAAAAAACACATATGACTGCATGAGGCTTTGGGGGGACATCTAGGCCAAACCATAACGTGGTATAGTATTTAGGAATATGCCACCTAAATATTACACTTTCCTGGGCCTCAACTTTCTCATCTGGAAAGTGGGGATATTAATAATTCAACTCTCTCTCTCTACATATTAGTGTGAGAATTCATTCAAATCATTCTTTGCTAGCATGATGCTTTGTATACAACATGCATTCCATAAATTATAGTTATTCATGCATTTCTATGCATTCCTTTATTCTTTTTCCTATATATATACTATCTGAAGCATAATATTGCTTACTGTTAATCTTCACTCAAACATACTCTACGTATTCTTCACCATTACTATTTTTTTTTTGGTACTGGTTATTGAACTTGGGTCCTTGCTCTTGCACAGCAGGCAGCGATACCACTGAGCTAAATCCCCAGCCCTCTTCACTATTATTTTTTATATTCAACATTATGAGATTCATTTTATTGTTATTTGTATCCATATTTTATTTTTACCATTGTATAGTAATCCATTGTGTAAGCATAGATTTATTTCTCTTTTTTCCTGTTAGACATTGTTTTTGCTATTACAAACAGTGCTAATGTGAACATTATACATGCCTCTTTGAGCACACGTGTAAAAGTTCCTTTCTCCAGCCACCCACTCTGTCATTTTCTGAGTTTTAGTTTGCCCTGGGCTAACCACCCTTTGGATCCAACATGGCTACTCCAGTTCCAGACATCAAATTTAGACATGACAAGCTCTGGTGGAAACAAGAATGCCACTTCTTTTTTTTTTAATAGCAAAGTATTTATTGGTAAACTTTAGACATACATAATAACACACATCATAGGAATTTGCACCTGTGCATGATACCTCCCACCTCTTTTTTTCCCACCTCCCCTCCCCTTAAACCCTCCTCCCCTCCCTATGTACAAAAGCTTTGTTTCCATTTTTTTTTTTTTTTAGTACCAGGGATTGAACTCAGGACCTTGTGCTTTCGAGGCAGGCAGTGGCACCACTGAGCTAAATCCCTGGCACTGTTTCCATTTTTTCAAGAAGGCCACTTCTTCCTGAGTTTCTCCCTTTCATTATCAAGGACTTTCTCCCAGAGTCCTCCATCAATCTTCACTTCCTTTCTCATTGGCCAGAACTGGATCACATGACCACCTTCAAACACGTTAATCTTAGGTTAATCAGGATTGGTCCCTGATGATCCAACATGGCTGCACCAGGAAGAAAAGCTATCTGAGAAAAAAAAAAAACTACAACAAAAAATAGAGGGGATTATATGTCAGATGAATCACAGTTCTAGTTATTATACTGCATAACAAACCACCCCAAACTCAGTGACATAAAAACAATCATGTTCTTATACTCATAGATTATGTGAGTTAAGAAATTGGGCAGAAAAAAAATGAGCTCAGCTTGTCTCTGAGGTCTCAGCCAAGAA